GCCCTTAATTAAATCTTTGAGAAAATATTGAGGAGGCTAGAGAATGACTTAGCAGTTAAGAGCATTGGTTACTCTTCCAGATGACTGTTGTTCATATCCCAGCATCCACATGATGATTCACAACCTTCCGTGACTCCAGTTCCAGGGAAACCAACACCATTTTCTGGCCTCTGTGGGCACCAGGCACACATGGTGCACAGACATACATGCAGGGAAACACCAGTAAACACCAACATGATCACCATCATCATCATCATCATCATCAAATGATTTACTTAAATGTATATGGCTCAGTTTTCCCCTTAGGTATTTTTGAAAACAAAGCAAAGACAACCTAACAAGCTACTTCTACACCAAGCCCTCAGGATTCTCCCAGTAATACTCAGGTTCAGTGGGGATCTGTTTTGACGAAAGAATATATAATAGATGTGAAAAACAAAAAACATCATAAGCTTAAGTATTATGAATATGTCTATGAAACTCCCTGGTTTGCCCAGGATGGCCCTGGTTCTACCTACTAAATCTCAGTGAATGTCTAAGCATTGCCCCAGACTCCATGTTCACTCCCAAAGTATTTCTCTGTTTGGTTGGTAAATTATACTGTCACCTTAATTATAACAGATAAATAGAGACACATTGTATGTCAAAGACAATAATTCATAAGAAAAAAATCTCAAAAGAAAAATTACTCAGCAACATAACCTCAAAATGTATGAAATCAAAACAATTACAAGGAGAACTAGATAAAGCCAGTCAAGTGGAACATCTTTATATGCCTCGCTTGGCAAATTATAGATGATGAAACAAAAAAAAGCAAAAATAAAGAAGTTTTAATTGACACAAGTGAAATACTTGAATGTACATATGATATATATTTGGTATATATATGGTATATATTTGGTATATATTATATATATGGTATATATTTGGTATGTGTATATATGTATGTAAGTGTGTGTGTGTGTATATATATATATAAATATATATATATATATAACAAATAATTAAAAGTTAGATATCGACTTGAAACATGCATGGAATACTTAGTAAAATTAACCATGATGATAAGCCTTATACTTATCCATTATTATAAAAATATAATCATTTTCTTATAAAGCAAGGCTTACCAATAAATAAGGAAGGATGAACCAAAGTCAGAAAGAAAAACCTTCTGGAAATTGGAAAACATACTAGTAAATAACACTGCTGATAAAAGAATTCTATAAAATATTTAGACATGATTGATGGAAAATCACCTATCCATATTAGTAGTTTATGAATAAAGTAGTAGGGGTAAATTGCTAGCTGTGAATGTATCTACAGTCAAGCGGCTTCCCTCACACCTTCATTGCACATACATGTAATTCCATCTCGCATTATAAAGGCCTTGCACACTGCATGAAAAGGTTCTAACTGCTCTGTGCCCTCCTGTGATGGATAGTTCTAATTGTCAACTTGACACAGCTGGGCAGTGACTCAGCAAGGGACTGTCTCGATCCCTTTGGCCTGTGGGTATGTCATGGTGGGGGTGTTGTCTCGACTGCTTTGACTGATGTGAGAAGACTCAGCCTGGCTGCACCATGACTGGGTTTGGCTTCTGAACTGTGTAAGAAATGCAGAAGCAGGCACGCATTCATTCCTCTCTCCGCTCTTGACTGTGGATGTGAAGCTGTGACCAGCTGCTTCAAGGCCCTGCCTTGGCTTCCCCACGCTGATGGAATGGAACCTGGAATTCTGAGTCAAAGTCTAACTCCCCTAAGCCACCTTTGTCAGGATATTCTATTACAATAACAAACAAAACCAAGACACTTCCTCACTACAATATAAAAAACTTGAACTTAAACATTGTCTTTTCATGTTTGTTTCCCAATATACAACAAAATTCCCAACACATAACCCACTCAGAATGGCTAACTGAACAATAACATTCTAAAGAAAAAGAAATACTCTGAAAGACAAAATATCTGCCACATAATGCAAGCTAATATATGCATTATCAACATTCAAGCCAAGCTTGGTGGTGCAAGCCTTTATTCCCAGCACTCAGGAGGCAGAGGTATGCAGATCTCTGTGAGTCAAGGCCAGCCTGGTCTACAGAGTGAGTTCAAGGAGATCCAGGGCTACACAGAGAAACCCTGTCTCAAAAAAAAAAAAAAACCGAGGGGTGGATATTGTTAACATTCAATGTACCAGAACACTCAACACTCAATGCACCTGATAGAACCAGCCTCAGGGTATAAGCAGAAAGTAACTCTCCACCCTTGTCTCCTTTCAAAGCTGTGCAGTGGGAAGATGGTCCCCTGTCATGAGAAAGGTGGAGTGCCAAGTTGATGGCTCATTCTCAGCAAAACAATGCCTTCTTGTGCCAAAACATGGTATCACATGCCTGTAATCACAGCATTTGGGAGGCTGAGGCAGGATAGATTAACTCAAAGCCAGCCTGGCTACATAGTGAGACCATGTCAAAAAAAAAAGTCTCCTTTAAGATGCTATTGTGAATCTCAAGGATGCTCCTCCATAGTATACTTGATCTCACTGGTAAGGGAAGTGCCATCTACAAGTAACCAGCAGATTATTTCAGAAAGCTTAAGATCTGCTCTTCAATAAGAAGAAAATGCTGCTTCGAGGAGGACATGAGCCTCTCTGCTCATAGTCAGCATAAGGATTTCCGTAGATCATCTGGAAGATTACCCCAAAATGATGGTGGTGTGCGGAGAAGAAAGGGCTCATTTAAGCAGGGCGGAGGAGACAGACACAAGACAGAAACAATAGGTAACATACAACCCAGCTCCAAAGCAACTTCTAACAATGAGGAAAACAGGAGAGGAGATTTATGGCTGAATTTGGGGTGACAGGAAACAAAATGGGTTTGAAGAAGTGAGCTCACAGCAGCCCTAAAGATACGAGTCTGAACAACAGATGTTCCGCTGCAGAATAAAGAAAGAAAAAATGGGACTTTCCTGGATCCTTAACACACAGCTGCAGCCATTGGGAGAAAGAAGACCCCGCCACCCCCCGGATCTTCATGTGGGCTGCAAACACAATAATTAATGGGTACAATCACAGTTCCTAGGGAGCACTCAGGCTCCAGTCTCTGTAAGCCAACAAATTTCTGTGTGATCAGGGTGAGCCTTCCAGAGCTTTGCATAAAGCAAAGGATTCCTAACTCAATTTTTTTTCCATTTCTGATTGATGTTTTTGTGTCCATCAATGCTACAAGGAGCTAGCTGTTTGTATTCAGTGAGAAAATAGTTCTCTACACGTCTGTGTTCCCAAGGCAAGTAAAGCGTCTTAATAAACTTAACTGGGCTGTTGTAGTTGGGGTGAGATGTGTTTCCCAAGAGAGGCTCAAGTCCCCAGTGGATACCATTTCCCAGCACTGATGGAGTCACCAGGACTCTCACCTAATCAATGGGCTAATCCATTGATGGACTTATAATTTATGGCATTATTTATAGAGAGGACACAGAAACTGGGAGGTGAGTTTTGATTGGAGGAAGTGGAGCACATGGGGTATGTCCTCAGTCCCTTGTCATCTCTATGTTTCCTGGCCACCAAGAGTGAAGTAGCCACTGTGCCAACCACATTTGGTCTGCCAAGATGTTCTGCCTCACCAGACCCCTAGCAATGGATTCAGCCATCCATGGACTGAGATCCTGAGCCAAATAAGTTGTGATGGCTAATATTATCAACTTGACAAGATCTAGAATCGCCTAGGAGACATGCCTCTGGGCATGTCTGAAAGGGACTATTCAGTTTAGTGTCACTGAAGTAAGACGACCCACCCTGGATGTAGGTGGCACTGTTCCATAAGCTGAGGTCCTGAACCACATAAAAAAAAGAGAAATAAACTACACAGCAGAAGTCATTATGCTCTGCTTCCTGACTGCAGATGCTATGTGACCAGCTGCTTCCAGTTCCTGCCACCAGGACGTCCCTACCAGGGTGGACTATACCTTTAAATGGTGTGTGTGGAGGGGTGGGGGACCTTCTTCCCTTAAGATGTTTTCGTCAGGGTATTTTATTACAACAGAAAAAGTAACTAAGACATAAGCCTTTTGTCCCTTGGGGTTTTTTGTTTGTTTGTTTTTTGTTTTGTTTTGTTTTCCCAGGCATTTTGTCACAGTTTGAAAACACTAACAACAGGATCTCTCATCAGCGTCACCTAAGCTCGCAAGAGTCTGAGAATCCCGGCATTGTTTTGTTTGGGTTTGGCTTGGTTTCCGAGTCAGGGTCTCATGATATAGTCCAAGTTGGCATCAAACTCACTCTGAAGTCCAGAATGAACTTGTAATCTTCCTGTCTCAGTCTCCCAAACAGCTATGAATCCAGGCCTGTGCCATTGAACCTAGCAGAGCAGTTTCTTTATTCAGGGACATAATAGATGTGCTTGCAAAGTTGTTTCTAGAAAGAGCAGCCTGGACATATGTATTTCCAGCAAGAAAATGGGGAAATGACCCTGAAAGTGTATGTTCACTGACCAAAACAAGCCCACAGCTCAGTCAGGTATAGTGGGAATGGAAAAGTTCATATTTTTTTACATCTATTTATTTATCAGGATGGGGATACATACATAAAGATCAGAAGAAAATGTGCAGGAATTGGTTTTCTCTTTCCACCACATGGCTCTCAAGGACTGACTGAAATCTTAGACTCAACAGCAAGAGTCCCTGCCCACTGAGCCATCCTCCTGGTCACAGATGTTCCTTTTTGCTGTGAGTCACTTTCAAGAGTCCTATATAATAAAGTATACATTGAATTATAGTTTATAATTGCCATGTGAGGTCATAAAAGTTGCCAGCACAATGCGATGTCTTTTCCAGCCTTAAACCAAATATGGTCTCTTAAACCTAATTGGTCTCTCAACCAGTTCTCCTAGGCTCATTTCAGATCCACTCATCAAAATGCCCTTGCTATCACATCCCAGAATGACTGCTCAAGCTTCTGAGCTACCTGATGTACAGACTGTGACATCTTCACAGATGATTTCTGCATCCTACCTTATTTCAATGTCTTTTTCCCAGTGTTAGTGCACAGCAAACTCCTGGAGAGCAAGGTGATATCTTACAGCTGAGAAAGTCATCCGACAAGCCAAAGCAGCATAGAGAGTCCAGGCAGGTCCAATTCCTTGCGAGCACCCTGCTCACACTGCCTGTAGGCAACAAGAGGTTGTTGGCCCAAGTTTCAATCAAGTACATTATACATAGAGCAAAGTCACTAAGACTGGAGAGGTTGCAGTTTCCTTGAGGGGGCATTTAACCTCAACCCCCAGAACCACTGTACAGTTCCTTTGCTTCTAGACCAAGAACTTCCTGTGAGGTCTTTGGGTCAGCTCAAGTTTGACCTGATTAAGGGTTTCCTCAAAGCCAGCCCTGAGAAGGTGGTTTATGTCCAAGTGATTTATGGAGGGAGTGCCTCGCCTGTAAAGGGATAGGACAAGAAGGCTCATGAGGAGCAGAAATCATGCAATATGAAACTCTCCAGAGAAGTCTAGCCTCGACCCACTCTTATAGATAGTTCTTGGGGCATAACGGCACTGTGGGTCTGTCTGGCTCTAAAGCCAAAGAGCACAGCTTTATAAACCTCCTCCCATCGGGCATCAGCGAGTCAGAGGTTGCTATGTGCTGCTCCAGCACAAGAGGCAGGGGCTCCTGTCATCTATCAACAGTCAGGAGAAAGTGGTTCCGGTGACCCAGCCATGAGCCACAGCACACCATGGCTGGACATACAAATCGCACTAATAAATGAGGCCAAGGGACTCTAAAGAGAACATCAACACCATCACCATTTGCTACCTTCCTCCAACCAGACTGCACCTAGGGATGGCCTTGACATTAATCTTTCAGGGAAATTCAGGGAAACTCTGGATGAATTTTGCCTTTTCAGCAACCATAAAGGATTATCTTGCATCAAAGGGCCGTGCTGAGAGATGATGTTTTGAGAGAATGCCTTGAATTGATACCTCAGAGGGCTTCTTACGAAGGCATGATTTATACATCACAAGACAAAGGGGATTTATATAAAGAAAATGGATTCCTTTTCTGAACTGTTTTGAGAAAGACAGATGGCTTCCTGTAAACTGCAGTTCCATGTCTGTGAGCTGAGTGTTACCAGAAAATTACTAAGGTAATGCTGCCCCTGGGACCCACTACACCATCCTCACCACCACCCACGCTGCGTGTGGGGGCACATGGATGAGGGTGTGAAAGAGGCCACAGAAACTGTTACCTAATCAGACTGATGCCTACCACTAACAGCCCTCCTGGGGGAAACTCATATTATCCAAACTACACAGTTAATAGCCAAAAAGGACATTTTTAGATCATTAAATGGTACAGTAATTCCTGCTCCTCCGGCTACTGCTGTTGGCACATTTGCAGGCCCTATGCTTCCTATAAAAAAACGGCTTTTACATTTTCTTCAGTGGTATAGCCCCACTAAGCTGCCTGCGCCCCTGTAAATAAGCCCTTGCCCAGGTTCTTCTATGCAAACCTGATAAACTCATCTGGAAGCTGGTAGGATTGCTCAGTAGGTAAAGACACTTGCCACCAAACCCAAAGACCTGAGTCCTCAGAAACTACATGGTGGAAGAAAAAACTGATTCCTGCAAGTTGTCCTCTGACCTCCACATGCACACCAATGCAAAAACACATATAAGTGCACAGAGAGAGAGAGAGAGAGAGAGAGAGAGAGAGAGAGAGAGAGAGAGAACAAAAAATAAATTAATAAAACATAACAAATCAACTGAACTCATTGGGTCCTTTAAAAAGCATGAAAGGGGGACTAATTGGGAGAAGAGGAGATAGCAGTACTAGGAAAGGAACACAGCGGGGACTAGGGAGTGAATATGATCAAAACGCATTTTTTCACGTATGGATGTCATAATGAAACCCATTGTCATATGTAATTGATACGTGCCAATAAAAACTAATTTTAAAAAATCAAAAATCTCATTATGTAGGTTATTCTCCAGATTTTAAACACCTTAACTGACTCCCACTTAATCTTTGTGCTACTTTTCACATATACGTCTGATGGAGAAAATTCAAGAGTATAAGAGTTGTAGAAATGGGGATAAGGTTAAGACTTATCACTGCTTATCGGGCTTCCAAGTCCTTGGGAACAAGGTGACTGGAAATTATCAAAGAGGAGATAAATGGAGTCATATTGTGAGTGGGGAAAAAATATCCCTGAGAAATAAAAAGCAACAGCCCCAGGGAAACCTGGGAAACCAAAAGGTCTTTGAAGCACCAAGCTATAGAATCAGCATTCAGAATGAATGGTGGCAGGTCAGCTCCAGAGCAGGCTCAGTGGCATTTAACTCTTAAGTGACCCTTTCCTAGTGTAGTGGTGGCAAGCTTAGGGAGGGACTCTCATGGGTGTTTAGATTCCTGGTACCCACAGAAATGCTTGGTAGGTGTGGTGGCCCCCCTTTAATCCTAGAGCACAGGAGGCAGAGGTGAGGGGTTCCTTCTGGAGCAGGTTGGCTGGCTAGAGGAGCTGAACCAGCAGCTCTGGGATCCTGCCTCAGGATATAAGATAAAGAAGGGTGGAGGAAGACATCTCCCTTGTCATCCCCCCTCCCATCTCTCCCTGCCTCCCTTCCTCCCCCTCCGAGAGAGAGAGAGAGAGAGAGAGAGAGAGAGAGAGAGAGAGAGAGAGAGAGAAGCAAACAAATATAATTTAATTTTTCTCTAAATCAGTTCTGTGTCACTTGTGTGTTTCACAATATTTGGGTCATGGTGACCACTCATTAATCACTACTGAGACCACAGTTTAGTGACCCCTTTTCTGAATGCCTCCTATAGGTTACTCACCCAGATCCAACCATCTAGTGCCAGATTTTTTTTCTTTCAAAGTTATGGGAGAAGCTGAAGACCCTTGAATTAGGAAAGGACAGTAAGTTCTAACCCTCCTCACTGTGGGGAAATACATCTGAGAAGAACAACTTGGAGGAGGACTCACCGCTCATGGTTTCAGAGGGTCCATGGTCACTTGGACCCATCATTCGGGGTTTGTGGCAAGGCAAGACCTCGTGCCACTGAAATGTCACCTCATGGTGGCCTAGAGGCAGAGAACCAAAGGCAGGCCACTACACCACCACCCTGTCAAGGGCGAACCCCAGGACCTAACTTCCTTCCACCAGGCACCGCCTCCTAGTGTCATCACCGTCCAACAGCACCGTCAGGGGACAAAACTTCCAGCACATAAACTACAGGGGGACAATTTTTTCCCGTTGGTGCCCTTAACATTTATCACTGCTTGAACATATCCAATAATAAGGAACTCTCTCGTTGATGTGATTGCAAACCACTGGACAGAACTCAAGCTCAAGACTGGAAATTTAAGAAACAATTTGATGGTGATGGTGGTGGTGGAGGTGGTGGTAATGAGACTCAATAACAAACTAACAACCAAGTAGGCAAAAGACTTTTACCCTGAGAACTAAGAGACATTACTAACAATAATTAAAGAAAACATGAGTAGGAAAAACATTTCATGTATATGGATAAAAAACTTCATATTTTTATCATGTTGATAATGCCTAAAGCAGTTTATAAATTCAACACAACACCATCAATAAAATATGTTTAGTTTTGTTTTGCTTTGGGGAGTTTGGGGTTTGTTGTTGTTGTTGTTTTGTTTGTTTTGTTTTGTTTTGTTTTTTGAGATAGTGACTTAGTCTGCATCTCAGGATGATTTGGAACTCACTACGTAGCCAAAGATGGTCTCAAAACTCATAGCAATTCTTCTGCCTCAACCCCACAAGTGCTGAGTTACAGATATGAACCATCATGCCCACCCAGCTCCAATCACATCTTTTGTAAAAGCAAACAAAACCTCATCCCAAAACTCACATGGATTCTCAAGGGAACCTGAACAGGCAAAAATAAACTTGCAAAAGACTGTAGCTAGAGGTCTCAAGCTCCTTTCAAAACTTACCACAAGTCTACAATAACCAAAAGAGCCACATTTGGTCTATAGAAGATGCTTGAACCAATGCAGTAGGAGAGGGTTCAAAAACAAAACCCTACGTATTGGGAACAAATGGTGTTCGTTTTTGCAGTGCTAGGAATTGAACCCAAGGCCTGTGTGTGTGAAGCAATCAATCACTGTCCTGGTGAAGCCCATCTCCAGCCCCTGATCAAATGGTTTTTGACAAAAGTACTAAGGTAGCCAAAGGCTGAAATCAGACTTTTCCCTTACAATACACACAAAACTGACTCAAAATGAATCAAAGACCTAAGCACAAGAGTTAAAAGTGTGGCATTCTTATAGCAAAGGAAAGGGGGGAATCTCCACAACATTAGACTTGGCAGTGGTTTCTTGGGTGGGACAAAAGGAACAGGCAATGAGAGCGAAAATTAGTTTGCAATTCATCAAAACTAAAGCTTTCTGTATCCAAGGACATTGTCAACAGAATGCGAACAGCACACAGAACCAAGAGGGTTATTTGCAAGCCATGTAGTTGACAGAAAGTTAATGTCCAAATTACATAGTGAATGTTCACAGTTCAGCAGCAAAAACACAACAGCCTGTTCTTATGTTTTTGAAACAGAGACTCACGTATCTCAGGCTGGCCTCAAACTAGTTATATAGCCAAAGATGACTTTATTATCCTTCTTCTTACCCTCCAGTCTCCACCACCCAAGTGCTAGGATTCCAAGCACGTGACCATATACAGTTTATGCAGTGCTGGTGATCAAGCATGGGCTTCGTTCAGGCTTGGCAAGCACTCTACAACTGAGCTCCATCCTCGGCCCCAACACCACAATTCTTAAGGGAGCCAAAGATGTGAACAGACACTTCCTGTAAAGGAGTTATGAATACACAAGTGAGAACAAAGGTCCATCACTAGTCATTAGGAAATCCAAGCCAAAGCCCGTTGAGATATCACTTCACAGCCACTTGGATATTAAATAAGGAGAGAGAGAGAGAGAGAGAGAGAGAGACAGAGACAGAGAGAGAGACAGAGAGAGACAGAGACAGAGACAGAGAGAGAATAGCAAATGGTGACCAGGATGTAGAAAAATCGAAACCCTTGAATGTCACTGCCAGGAAAGAAAATGTTGTAGCCACTACAGAAAAACACAGAATTACCATGTGATACATTGCTACATAAAATTATCTGTGAAAGGTAAAAATTAAAGT